AGGCTATAGGTTTAGTCTTGGCCCGTTTCTGTCAACTTGGACATAAATATGAGAAAGTGCTCTTAAAAGACATCTGCGCTTATGTTTATAGCAGCACAATTCACAATTACAAGGATGTGGAAACAACCCAAATGCCCATCAATACAAGAATGGATTAATAAAATGTGGTATATGTATACCATGGAGTACTACTCAGCCACAAAAAACAATGGTGAACTGCCTATTGTATTATCCTGGATGGAGCTAGAGCCCATTTCTTCTAAGTAAAGTATGACAAGAATGGAAAAACAAGCACCACATGTACTCACCATTAATTGGTACTAATCAATCAACATATACATGCACATACAGGAAGTAACATTCATAGGGTGTTGGGCAGGTGGCGGGGGGAGACAGGGACCGGTAAATTTACACCTAACGGGTCTGGTGCATGCTGCCTGGGGGATGGGCACGCTTGTAGCTCTGACTTGGGTGGTGCAAAGGCAATTTATGTAACCAAAGCATTTGTACCTTCATAATACTCTGAAATAATAAAAAAAAAATGGTACAAAATGACATATGAATACATCAGTCACACACATATGCTAGAGGTACCTGTGGCTTTGTGGTTAAGAGGGCAGTGTCTACAGTCAGACAGACTGCTTCCAAACCCCAGATACACCACTTACCTGATAGGCGGTTTGGAGCAGGTTATTTAACCTATCTGCCCTCCACTTTCCTAATCCATAAAATGGGGATAAAAACTGTAATATAGAACGAAATTCATAGGGATGGTGTTCAGTAAATGAGACAGCACAAATGGCAGAGGTTTTATGCTCGTGCATCCCAAAGTGTCTTCACGTGTAAAATAATGTTATTATTGTGATGTTATCCTGAAATTCTCTAGAATCAGAACAATTCTGTTAGAATATGCTATAACTTCTCTCTTTCTCCTTCACCTGTCCTGGCCAGCCTTCTGATGCCACAAATCACAAATTGCTCTTCGTGTTGATTTTCTCCTGGTGCCAGTTCCTGCTGGGCCTCTGGGGAAGGAAACTGGCTCCTTTCCCACCTCAAGGTTCCAGTTTGCTGGCTGAACCCTGGGGCCCCTGCGGTTTCTGTGATTCCGCAGGAATTCATCCTGCATGAGAAGCTCACCTGGAAAACATGTGGCAGAAGATGGAATTTCAGTGCTAGGCCCCAGAGCTGTGGAATACGTTTTCAGTGTGACCTTCTTGCCAGGCATACTTGAGTCTGCACAAATTCTGGTCCCCACGCAGAGGCAGCCAAAGAAAGCTGCCTTGCTGTTAGGACTGTAAGACTACACCCAGGCTCTCAGAACAGCACTTCCCCCACCAATCTGTCCACAGCGGCCTCAGCCAAACTCGAGGAATGAAGGCTTAACAGGAATGTGTCATAAGAAAAATATTCCATGTGAGTCCTCTCTCCCGAGTTCCACGCCCATATTTCTGCCTGCCTGTTGGACCTCTCCAGTTAAATGACCCACAGGCATGTCCTTTCCAAACAACATGTCCAAAATGACACTTCATTCCCTCTTCCTGTCTTGAGTAGTGTGTCACGATCTAAGTTAAAAACCTGGAAATCCTTCTCCCACACCCCTTCCCCTGCTGTCAGGAGGTCCTATCCATTGCAGATCCCAAATGGCTCAGATCCGATGCTTCCTCTCTGTGCCCTCACATATTGACATTCAGGGCTTTATGATCTCTCACCTAGACTATTTCACCAGCCTCCTAATCAGTCTCCCTCCCACCAACTCTCCCCACTCTGGTTCACTCTCCACATTACAAGCAAAGCAGGAAATGCAATTATTCTCCCACCATGATAAAGCATGCGTTGGCTGCCCCAGGGACTCGGGGATGGAGTGTGGACTCTTGAGTTGCCTGCAAGGCCCAACCCATCTCTCCAGCTCCATCCTGCCCTGAACACCCCTCCCTCCAGCGTACCAAACTGCTCATGCTTCCTCAACTGCTCCTTAGTCGTTTGTTAGTGGGCCTTTGAATAAGGTCTTCCCTCTGCCTGGACTCTTTTCTCTTCCTTTTTAAACCTGGAATATTTCTGCTTACCCTTCAAACTCAGCTCAAAAGATACGTTCTCTGGAAAGGCAGTCTCCCTATGCCCTCTTCTTTCCTCCCAGAGCAGGTTTTCAGTGCCTTCGTTATTAGAACATATTAGTCCATCTTGTGGTTGTGTGTTTATATATTCACACTATATGCTTTTCGAGATCAGGGATTCTGTCCTGTTGACTTCTGTGCTCCCAGGAGTGGACATGGTAGTTCCTCAGGAAAGGACGGTTGGATGGATGTGTATATCATGCACCTATCATAGTGCTACAGAGAAGCCCTGCATACTAGAGCATCGCCCTTTTCGATAGCTTCATAATCTTGCCTAAGTACTAGAAGGTTGGTTCTATGAAAGGTGGAGTTCAAGACTCCAAATTCACCTTTATCTCAAACTTCTTTCAGTTGAACTTGTATTGTTTCTTTGTCTCTCTTTCTGATCCCCCCATTCTCAGTAGATCTCTTAGAGGATGTCTCTCTGCCACAAAAAAATCGTATTTTGGATTTGCTGGCTGGAGAAATTTACTTTCCCATGGAATCAGAGACAGAGCTGATCTTGTTAAAAGGCTTTAGCTATTATCCCTTTGAGAGGATCCACTGAGCAGAAAACCACTGTCGACAGTATAAAACGCTGACACCCGACAGCTGACATCCGTTTCCACGCGTGGTCCTGTTTCCATATGATACTTAGAGCCAGGGTTATACTGACCCTGGCACTCAGCGGCCTTCTAATTTCTTCCACATCGAGTTTTGTTCCAAGTTTCTGATCATTTCTACTTTGGAAGATGGCCAAGGTCCTGGTGGTAGCCGCGGTCATGCTGAGTCTCTGTGCCCTGCTATTGGGGCTTCGACTGCCTCTTGGAATGCGTGCATTCTGGCAGGTGTGGCACATGCGGGGGTCAGACCCCCACGGTCTGATGAGCTAGGAGCCTCCTGCGCGGAATCTCATTTTTTCTCCATCTGCATAGCCATTTGGGCCTCAGGCTTGATGACTCACATAGTGGCTATCCATCTGCCCATTTACTGCAGAAAGGAAAAAGGACTTTTTCGCACACAGTGAGTCATTGGATCACGTTTCAGAGCCACCTGCCTGACTCGCAGACTCTAGCGGAGCTCTGCAATGATGGAGCTCCCTGTTAGATGAGGATGAATATCACCTGCGTAATACCCTCTACACCCCAAAGCCAACCTGAAATCCCCACCCTGAGCCAGTAATGGGTTAGGCCAGGGTTAGCAGATGCTTCTAGCTGCTGCCCCTGCATCCCCTCCCTGCACCCTGCAGACATTCTAATTGATGAAGGAGCTTTCCTCCCCTGAGACCGGCAGAGGCCTTGGCATCGTGGTTAAGACAACACTCCCGGCAGCAATCCTTGCACTTGGTCAGACTTGGCACCAGAGGGTAAAGCATGTTGATATCCTGAGGTTACACTGGGAAGATGTGACTGTTTTCAGAGTGAGGACTGTGGTCTCCAGAGGGCTACTTTTATTTTCTTGTATATCTAATTATTTGATTTGGGAGTATGGGGGGAGTAGGAAGGCAATATACACACAGGATACAAAATTCAAAACATAATGTAGAAATATACAGTGAAAATTCTCTTTCCCATCTTAGTTCCCTAGTTCCCCCCACGGAGGTAACCAACATTATCAGGCTTTTTTGTGTGTGTATATGTTCCGTATATTATATTGACAGATACATAAAAACAAACACAAATATATATATATACATATATATATATATATATATATATTCATGCACACTATATTAGTTTTCTAGGACTGCTGTAACAAAGTGCCACAAACTGCATGGCTTAATGAAAATTTATGATCTCACAGCTCTGGAGGCTGGAAGTCTGGGATCGAAATGTTGGCAGGGTTGGTTCCTTCTGAAGACTGTGAGTGAGAATCTGTTCCATGCTCTTCTAGCTTCCGGTGGTTTGCTGTGGCATTCCTTGGTTTGTAGAATCGTCACCTTGATCTCTGCCTTCATTTTCACAAGGTGTCCTCCCTGTGTGCGTGTCTGTGTTCAGATTTCCCCTCTTTATTAAGGACATCAGTCATATTGGATTAGGGTCCAACGTAATGACCTCGTTTTAACTTGATTACCTCTGTAAAGGCACTGGGGGGTTAAAACTTTAACATTTGGATTTTAGAGGGACATAATTCAACCTATATACCACAGGCATTTAAATATATGCTAAGTTTTATACAAATTCTACTCCAAACACTTCTGCATCTTGCTTTTTTTTTTTCATTTTAGTATTCTTGGAGATTTTTCTATATCAGTGTATAGAGACCTGCCTGCCTCATTCTTTTTAATGACTACATAGAACTGCAACTGCATCCCATGAGAATATTTATTTAAACAGACTCCTAGTGATGGACATTTAAGCTCCTCTCTGTCTTTTGTTATTACAACAGGGTTTCAATGAATGTCCTGCAACATATCATTTCACGCTTTAAGTGAAGTATAGATGTAACATAAATTCTTAAAAGTGGAATTGCTTGTTCATAGGGTAAGTGCATGTTGATTTTGAGATCCACATAAACTGCTCCTAAATTACTCAGAGGAAGGGCAGAAGAGATGTATTTATCAGATTAGCTAATTGTCACCATGGATTTATATCAGGTTAAAATACAGGACTAGGAAGAGTCCATAGAAGGAGGGAGGGGGATCTTTTGAAAATTGGTACTATTGAGCTACCGATTTGAAATAACACTCTGGACCTGTGCCACCCAAAGGTATTTCTCTGAGTCTGCTCTAAGACTAAATCGGCACTTTTGAGCCCATGGACTGGAGCTGGAACCAGAGATTCCAGAACCTTCCTGAGACTTGAGCCCAGGGTTCAGAGCAGCACTGGCTGGTGGAGAGGAGGGGGAGGAGCGGGGGACTTGGAGAGTAGATGGCAGAGCCCCAGACACAGAAGAAGAGGAATGTTTTGACTAAAGACCAGGCCTAATGTGGATACCATTGCCATTCCTATGCTCCCGGGTACCCTTCCTAGGGGACTGTCTGTCCAGCTTCTTGAAACAGACCTCCAGTTTGGTTTTGGCCAGCAGCAGCCTCTGGGGATTCCTGGTGCCGGGCCCTGAACCTGCTGAGGGTGTGAGGGCATCTGAAGTCAGTCAATCTGATGACGGCACAACACTTTTTATCTTTTTAACGTAACTGCCAGCTGGAAACTCGGAAACCCTCCCCCGGTTCTGCTTATTCTGGGAGCCTGACTCATGGAAGTTTACTTGCTTCTGGCTCTTTCTGGCCCGATCCTCATTGAATCACAGCATTTTAGCACCGTAAGGAAATCCGAAGTCAGTCCCTGGTGACTGGAGAAGCTGAAGCACAAACAAGTGAAGTGACCGACCCAAACTCTGAAGCGACAGCCGCAGCAGAGCCCGGATCTTGTGCCCGTTCGTCCCCGGGGACGTGCATGTCACTCGTTCAGCACTTGTGAGCACCTGCTGGGCGCCGGGCGCTCTGCTCAATCCCAGGGTTACAGTTAAGACCGAGACAGACCCTAGCCCTGCTCTCTTAGCACTGCTGCCCCGCACAGAAGACAGCCATGCAAGGAGTAATGGGCATTTGTCAAATGTGCACAAATAAAGAAATTAAATTAACGAAAGTGAAAGATGAGAGAGCCGTGAAGGAGACTTTCATGGTGCTATGAGGGTGTTTGGGGGGCGCTGGGGAGGTAGTCAGAGATTGCTCCAAGGAGAGCGAACATTTGAGCTGTGACCCAAAGAAGTCTCCGCTCATGAAGAATGTCACTGCTGAGGTGGCCTTTTCCTGTGGTCATCCTGTCGGGACCAGCAAAGTAGGGTAAAAACCGCTCTTCTCACTGATCAGGCTACGCTTACACCACAAATGAGAAAATTCCCTCTGGAGACAGGTAGCTGGCTGCCTCCCGCCGAAGAAGCCTAAGACAGGGACTTTCCTGGCCCAAGAATCGTTTAGGAGATGCTTCAAAAACGACTAAAGGATTGTTTGCTACGGGATTTCACTCCCCTGCTTCCCCTCCGGGGCAGGGTTGGGGGGCAATTAGAATACCTTGCCTCTATTTCACTGTTTAAAAAGAAAGCAGGCCAGGCACCCTGGCTCACACCTGTAAAGTCAGCACTCTGGGAGGCCAAGGCAAGAAGATCGCTGAACCCAGGTGTTCGAGACCAGCCAGGGAAACATAGGGATACCCCCATCTCCACAAAAAAAAAAAAATAAAGAAAAATTAGCTAGGCGTGGTGGTGCGCACCTGTAATCCCAGCTATTCAGGAGCCTGAGATAGGAGGATCGCTTGAGCCCAGGAGTTCAAGGCTACAATGAGCCATGATCTGGCCACTGCACTCTCTAGCCTGGGGAATAGAGCAAGACCCCGTCTCAAAAAAAAAAAAAGGTTAAACTACTGATAACCGTTTGGGCCTACTATTGCTTCTTACCTGGCGAATGAGAGGCCTACTGGCCTCTTCCTTAGCCAGGCCACGAGCAGCTATGGAGGGGATTTTTAATTGTTTTTTACTGTGCTCATGGGCCTGACCTTTCTTAGACTGTTTTGTGCCTGTGATAATTACTTAACTGATGTACTCCTGGTAAATTTGAATGTAGCTCAAAGCCACTGAAGCTATTAGTACAGGCCCGAGACCCAGGATGTCCGGAGTTGAGCCCAAGCATTGTCACAGACCAAATGAGTGATCCAGTGAGTGTCACTCCGGCCTTGGTTACCAGATCTTAGTGTGAAAATGTGGGAAAGGAACTTTTGTGAAGAATCATCTGACCTTCTGTAACTGTGGTCCATGAACACTGGAGGGAGAACCTCTGTCTTCTTTCCACTTTAGCACCGTAGGGGGTTGATACGATGATCTCTATTTTACAGGTGAGAAAACTAAGGCACACCTTTTGCTCAGGGTCACGAAGCCGGTAACTGATGGGGCTGGGATATGAACCCATGTCTTTCAGATACTGGGCCTTGCTCACAAACAGTCAGCTAAGGCCACACGGCCCAAGAGAAAGTAGATCTTATGACACACCCCTTTCCACCCCTTCCTTTTTGTGCAAGGTAACTTATTTCAGCAAGAGAAAATGATGGGCCTGTGCAGAAATGGGGAGATCAGCCTCTCTGCTTTACAACTAATGAAGGGTAAGGGTGACTCGGGAGAAAGATGTTTTGTGGGGATGGGAAATACAGTGGGGATTTTGTTTCCCAAATAATCATCTGATTTTGTGACAGAGAAGGGGTGGGTCTAGAACGTTATCCCTCATCAACATGTGTGAACCTGTCACTGCTGGTGGGCCCCTCTGTAAACTGTGTCAGGAACAGTCCCTGTGGCTTTTCAATGACAGCATGTAGAGTGAGGTTCTACTTCTCCAATCAAGCTGCTAAGTTGTGTTTGAGACAAAGACCCAGTCCGGGTGCCAGTGTCTCTGTCTCCGTAAAAATAGACCCATCCTTTGAGCCTGTTTGCTGTGGCTGAATCCTTGAGCGTGAAACAGTGGCCTGAAAAGGTTCCCCAGCCACACCACAGGACATGGGAACAGAAATGCCCCAGGCTCACTAAGGTTTCTGTTGAGTCTTGGTCATCTGTTTCATGGGTTCCCAGGCACCCTGCTTCTCATTCTTGCTGTTCTCTGGACCAGCGCAAGTCAGACCTTGGCCAAATTTATTCCCTCCTCCAACTTTCAATTTCTTATTGATAAAGGAAGTGACTGACTTAGTCTGTCTGAGATCACATGCAATTTATAATCTCAGGATCCTCTTTGTTCACTGTGTTTGTCAGATGAGGCAGAGGCGGGGAGTGGGAGGAGGTGGGAGGAGAGAGTGGGAGCAGTGTGCCCTGGGTGGACAGCAAGGAGGTGCATTGTCTGTAGAGAATTTAAACAAGAATAAAACCAACTAAAAGCTGGTGTCCTTTTTATTATGAGCTGGCAGTTTTAAACAAGGTCATGATAAACTACTCCTACCTGCAGGGAGGACTGTTCATATACCTTGCTCTTGGTATGCCACTTAGACTCTTTTGGTTGCTGGTGATAGAAAACCAACTCAGAATGGCTTAAATAAAAAAGGATTTTATTGGTCCACATAAGTGCTAAGACTAGGAGATACAGCTGCACTCAGACCCAGCTGTATCCTGTGAACTGAGATGAAATTTTAAGGCTCAGCCCCCCACCGGCTGACTAAATGGACCCCCTCGTGGCCAAAGGAATACCCTAAAACTAAATTGTCTGCCAAGAGGAAGGAGGTCAGACATGCCTTATCATTCCCCCCTCCCTTCTTGGTGACATCCTTTATAACCCACTAACAGGCCTAAGGCTACGCAAGACAAACCTGCAGGTCCTCAATTTACACAACAAATCTATGTCCAGTGGCTTATCTCTGATAAAGAGCTCCTTATGTTGAAACATTCCAAGCCTTGACACAAAGCTTCATGTCTTAACCAATTACAGGCCAAAGAATCTTTTAACTCACCTATAACTTGTAAGCCCC